GGTCCTGGAAGATCCCACATGCCGCGGAGCGGCTGGGCCCGTGAGCCATGGCCACTGAGCCTGCGCGTCCGGAGCCTGTGCTCTACAATGGGAGAGGCCACAACAGTGAAAGGCCCGCGTACCGGAAAAAAAAAAAAAAAGAATAAGGGCATGATGAAGACAAGCTTCAGTTACTGAAACACAAACTGTTTGTGTAGGTGGTGTTTTAAAATGACATTCAAAAGCCCATTTGTAAGAGACCATTTTGCATTTGAATCGTTTTCCTTCCGTTAAGTCCTGTTGTAGCTATGTTTTGGATAGTGGTTCTCCTCTATCTTGAAGTACATAAAACTTACCCCTGGGAGGCATATTTAAAGAAATTCAAATTCCCAGCTTTATACCCAGGGATTGCCTCAGTGTGTCTGGGTCTGGGTTGTGTCCCTGGAATCAACACTTTTAAAAACAGCATCACAGGTGGTTCAGAGACCACAGCGAGAGAGACTGCTCGGAGGGATGGGAAAGTGCAATTCAGTATTGTCTGGAGGGAAGTGGATGGCTTTTGCCTGAGGTTCAGAATAGGTGGTCTACTGCCAGATACAATCACTGAGAGTTTACAGTGTTCAGAGTAATAAGGATGCCTTTAGTCTATAGGATTATCTAAGCTCTGTGAAAATGTTTTTCTAAATTAGGAAGTCCTAGTGCCTTCTCTGAGAGATGAATGTACAAGTATCCTATTTACTAACGGGTGTAATTAGGATTTAAAAAAAAACTATTTTGAAAGTTGTTTTTCTTTTAAAAAGCAAAATTCAGCACTGTGACTTGAACCTCTAAATCTTTTATGCACAGAAAACCTTAAGCCTAAGTAAAAATGAACAAAAAGGAAGGAGAAGATCATAACTGTGAAAATTAGCCACAAAATAGCCCTTACCAGGGACTTTCAAGATCTAAGGGCAGAAAGATTTTAGAAGAAATTTTTCTTCCTGGGAAAGGAATTTCAGGTGCCAGAACTAAAATTTAAATGTAGTGTTTTATGACCAAGGGAAGGTTGCATTTGATTCCCAAACTTTCCAATTTAGATGAATAAATGCTATCATGGACTTAAGCCTTAAGGGAGTTAATGTTAATTTTGAGCATATATAGAATTTCCTCTCTGATTTCTTTTTCTTCAAAAAAAAATGTTCAAAGCACTTTCTTTCTCCTAGACCCTTTTTGAATGGCTTTAAAATTTAATATACTTTTTAAAAAGTGCAATGGATTAGATTATGCTATTAGTATATTAAAAGCTTGTTTCTGTTTCTTAGTTTTAAGGTCATTTAATGGAATAAAGATCACAGCACCATGTTACTTGCGTTTCTTCTTTCTCTGTTCTTTAACATGGGAGGATCTGTGAAGTGCATTTGGGCTTGGCAAAGCAAATAGGATCTCTAAGGGGATGAAGACTTGGGTCAAAGGTGCAGTGGTCATGTGGTTTGAGTGAGTCAGCTTTCTCTGTCCTGCAAAACAATACTGAACTAGTATCTTACTAGCATAATGCTGGAGCAAGCTGTGCTGTTGGAGGTACTGGGTAAAATGGAGCTAACTGGTTAATGGTTCCTTGTTGGGAGTGGGGTGAGGTAAAGAAAGCTCTACTGAAAGCTTTCCCTTTCACTAAGGACCTTGGAGGCAGTGGGGAAATTGGTTTGAACTTCTCAAATATTGACTAATCACTTTACATACCCAATTTAGCCCTACAATAAAAAGATTTATTTCCTAGTTTGAAACATACACTGGGTGGGGTCAGTAGCCTCCATCCATCCATCCATCCAACCATCCATCCATTCATCCATCCATCCCTGATCGTACCAGGCTGGGTGTTGCACTGAGTTCGTCGCAGTTTAGTAGGGAAGGGGCAAACTCACAAGTAGATGTGATACGAAGAGTATGGGGAGTGATGATTCCTCCATCAGCGAAGGCTTGGGGGAAGGAAGGACCAGGGTGGGAAAAGTGGTGGTGTGTGTGTGTGTGTGGGCGGGGAGACGTCAAGCAAACTGTGGCTTGTCTTTGGTGCATTGGCATTGTTGCCTTTGATGACCATAAACAGTTTGCCAAAGATAAGTCCAACCTTAACTAGCTTAATAACTAAAAAAATAGAATTGTAACTAGGAAAAAGTTTCTTATAATTGGCTGTCTAGAAGTTAAGTTAGCATGAGGCCCTGGAAGAACTCAAATGTCAACAGGACTATTATCTCCTGTATGCAGTGGCTGCATTATTTGCTCTTGCAGATAGATCTCCATGCTGCCGGGGAGGGCAGGAACACATGGCTCCGGGCTTATATCATCTCTTTTAAGTCCCCAGAGGAAAGGGGCTTTCTGACCCACTGCCTATTCAAAAATGTGTATTTTATATATATATATATATATATATATACACACATATATATATATATATATACACACACACACACCTCCATCCTAGAGAAAGATTCTGACTGGTCTGGCTTGGGTCATATGCTCCTTCCAGGGCCACTGCCTAACCTGAGGGCTGGGGCACGATAACCAGCCATATGTAGGTCACATGTGTCCCTACTCAGGGTGATGGGGGTACTGTGATTGGCGGCTCCACCAGAACTACATGGAGTCACCAGATGAGAGACTGCTGGACAAAAACGAATGTCCACTGCAGTTTTCAGTTCCCCAGACTGGCCATTTAACAAGCGTAGTGGAATGAGAGCCTGCAACATCTCGGGAATGTGCTTTTAAGGGGAAATAGACGTGGTGATGCACATTTATGCAGTGGAAGCCCTTCAGGGCCTCTCAAGAGGGGTTTATTCTCGCCTCTTCAGTAGGGTTTGAGGGGTTGCAGAGATAGGCAATTCACAGGGAAGTTACACTTCACCTTCCTTTCATAAAAGCCTGATTTTTCCAGCCAGGACGAACTGTCAAAATTGGTATATTCACAAAGCCTGCCCAGAGTGGCCTGGATACACAGAAAAAGCCTGCATTCGCTTGGCTGATGGAGCACCTTTCCCCTGAGGGGTGCTCCAGGTTTGAGCTGCTGTTAAGCGTCAGAGCCCTCATGTTATCATGAAATGCTCCTGCTATGGATTCTGCTCCCTTAGATGAGGTTTGCTGCCCACTCTCCCTCCCCCGTCCCTTTCCTCTTGGCCTGGCCTTGCTTCTCGTACCGCCAACCGACCTGCTCAGAATCCCACAGGGTCTCTTAGGCCTGCTCGGCATTTAGCCTTGTGCAGTTTCCTCCCACTTTCTCGGTTACTTCTTCCTCAGAGGCAGCACGACAGTGGATCTCCTGGAGGAGGAGAACCATCAGAAGGCAGAGAATGGAGAGATTGCAAATAATTAAAAATTAATATTTTCCACCTGTCACAAGAGTAACGGGGCTCCACAACTGGTTGCAGAAAAGACTGGAGGCTTCGTAGGCAGATAGAAGTTTGATCCTGGCTGCTTTGATCTTGGCTCTTCACCCAAATCGTTGTTTTGGACTTGGAATGGGGCTTAAGGGCCGACTATCTTGCTGGGGATGGTGGTGGCATCACATGGTATCTTCTCTTGGGGGTTTTCTTACAGAGCTCCACTTTTGAGAGCTGTGTGAAAGGTCAAAATCACTTCCTTGACATCCCCGCCCCTCAGTGTTCTTTTTATTTTGTTTTTCCTGGCAGAGCAACAGGAAAAAAAAAAAGAAGGAAGGGAGGGAGGGAGGAAGGAAGGAAGAATAAGAAAGTAAAGGAAGTGACATCTGGGCAATACTGAAAGCAGAGTAAGAAGAGGCAGAACCAGTGTGCTTTCCTCAAAACTGAACCTTTCCATGCTGGGTTTGACTGCCTTACAGGTAGTCTCTTGCTCCATACACGTAACAATTTGTTGAGTGAATAGTAATGCACATAAAGCTCTGGTGTTTGTTTACAGCGCCTCTGACTCTCCTTGCTGGGAAGCTGGTGAATAACGTGATGTTGATGAGCATGTTCCTTCTTCCTGTTAACAACAGCCAACGGGTCCCGAGTGAGAACTTGCCCCGTGCCAGACATCGGGCTCCCACTTTATAAGCCTCATTTCATCTGTTGCTTTCCCTTTGGGGAACGTATTTTTTTAATATTATCTTATATATTGTACAATATCATCACCACTCCACTGGCAGATGAACAAACAGGCTGAGAGAGGGAAGGGTGCCCTGGACCCTGTCGGTAGCCAGGGACGGGATTTGGCCCACGTGTCCTGATTCCAAGCTCAGTGCCGGCGGGAGGGGGGGCAGGAAAATAGAGACGAACAGGAGCTGCTTCTCCCCTTTAGGAGTCAACAGGCCAGTGCACAGGAAGGGCCTGTCTTTGGTCACTCGTTCACTCATTGATTCATTGATCCATTCATTCATTCATGAAATACCTACTGTGTACCAGGTGGGTGCCAGGTTTTGGGGATATCTAATGGCTTAAGACCCAATAGTTAAAAGTACTTTCTCTCTGGTATGCCCTTGCCTTTAAATGGCTTTAAAGCTTAATATACAGTAGTCCCCCCTTTTCCTAGGGGCATACGTTCCAAGGCCCCCAGCAGATGCCTGAAACCGTAGGAAGTATGCAACCATTAAGATAGTCCCCGCTTATCCACGGTGTTGCCTCCCTGTTTGTTACCCAGCGGAAAAAAGAAACCGCGGATAACGGGGGCCTATTGTAGTTTTAAACTACAGTATAAGCCCACTGGAGTGGAGGAAATAAGCAGATTGATGACACTCCAGTGTGATGTGTATACAAGATCTTAAGTTGAGAGGGCCGCAGCGCGTGCGTAGCTGAGGTGAGGAGGCGGTGGCCCTGCGCTGGGTTCTGGAGGCGCCTCCGCGCAGGGGAGGGTGTGCTGAGAGGCTTCGGGGTGAGCGGGGAGCGTCCTGGTCTGTCTGCCCCAGAGGCGGGAGCAGGCTGTCACTGTCGCCAGGGCAGGGAGCTCTGCGAGGCTCTAATTAGTCAGTCTCACGGGGAGGGGCCAGTTGACCTCAGGCTGGCCTGGACTCTGCGGCCATTTAGCCGGTTCCCTTTTCAGTGGAGGCCGCGCTGCATTCCAAGTCCTCGAGGTGGGTGGAGCGGTACTCCCCGGAGCTTGAGGAAGGGTGAAACGCTTGGGGGGGCTCTCAGGTGTTACAGGCTGTGTGGGGGATGGAGAGCTTGGGTGAGGCGGAAGTAAACAAGTTAGGGAGCCGGGGCCGGAGGGCCGGGCGCGAGGGCGGCCCCGCTGACTCTCTGGGGGCGCAGCGCGCCCTGCTAGGTGACACGGCTCGCGCTCCCCGCCGCTGCTCCGCCCGGCTCTCCGGTATCAGGTGTACCTCCCTGGGCCCCGCAAGGGATTCATCCGGTCACGGGCAAGTGCAGGGGCAGGGAGGGGGCCGGCGAGGAATTTGCAGGGAGTGAGCCCGTTGTTCTCGGAGGGGTTAGAGACCAACCGGGCACGTTCTCCCCCGCCAGAAGCCACAGTCCCCTGGGGTCTTGGGGACTCTGTTTCCTGCTACTGACAATGAATCCCTGCGCCCCCCCTGCCTCAGGCGTTTACTCAGCTGATAAAGCCAACTCCAGCGTGAAACTGAGGGACTCCATTACCGAAGATGCGCGCGCCCGTGGTAAGTTGGGGGGCGAGTGGGCTGGGAGTGGGGGCCGTGTTTCGGTGGGTCTGAGTCATCACTTCAAAGAGAGGGTCCTTGAGGATGTGGCCTCCAGATGTGGATGCCCCACTGGCCGGTGGGCATCAGGTGTGAGATGCGCGTCGGTGGGTATCCGTTGGAGTTGTCTCAGTGTGAGTACCTGCGTGGGCGGGTTGGGAGGCCGCCCTGCCTGAAACAGGCCCCCAGGAGCGGGGAGGCAGAAAGGAGAGATTTGCCCCACCAAGGTCCTGTGCTGCCTTCCCGAGTCAGACCAGAACACCTGGGTGGGATCCTGGGGCTGACTGTCTGGGGCTGCACCTGCTGCCCCTGAGCCTGGGTCTGACAACAGATGCTTCTTCTGGCCTCAGGTGATGCGCCTCAGCCCTGCCAGCAAGTTCCCAACTCTCCCTTTTCCTATGGTTCAGAAATCATAAAGGTGCTTAGCAAATGCTTCCTTTCAGCCTAGCTGGACCTGCTCCAGAGAGGTTCTGAGCCCGGCTTTTGAGGTAGACTCCCCCCGGGATTGTGTTCCTGCTG